TTAAGAGATAAAAGCTAATTTTTATAAAAGAGCGATATTCTTGAAATATTTAAAATGTAAATCTTAGGAAATATCTGAAAATCAATTAAAAATTAACTTTCATCTAATGCTTTGCGTTGTTTTTCTTTTTTAAAGACAACAACATACTTTCTGACTCGCTAAATGCGAATCGATTCAATCCATTAAACGTTAATTAAAGGCAAAATTTCGTAGCATATTTTCCACAGTGAGTGTCAAGGCATATTCGAATACTTACTCGGTACAGAATAAACTATGTATTTTATTCAGGCAATATAATACGAACTATAACCTGAACGACTTTGACGTGAGTGCTTCTGTCATAAAGTCGAAAAGTATCAATGTACTTGGACGCTCTATAAAGCAATGCTCTATCCGTCCTTGCCGGTGATCAGCTGGTTCATGTTGTAGCCGCTGAGTTGAGTGCTCATTTCAGTTCGCATTTTTAAACAGAGATGATCGGGCGGGGAATATGTGGGATCGATGATTAAAATAAAAAAAAAAATGTTGTTTCTTATTAAAATTCAAGCATATTGTTTTTGTTCTTTACCCATTACGTGCAGTTTTGATCGGTAGACTCTGATAGTTTGAGTGGTGAAACCATTTGTGCTACCGTTATATAACTTCCTGGGCGAAAAGCAGAACTGTGTGACTTTCGCAGACCCCTTTCAAGGCCAGCTTAAGAAAGCTCTATAGGGGGTGAAACGGACTGGTCGGAGGAAGCAAGCCCCAGGCTGCATTAAAAATTCCATCAATTCACAATTTTTCTCAAGTTTTTTCCGAAGCATTAAAAAATTGTTTGGTAGACATTGTCGTGATGGACGATCAAAACTTTCGTAATGATCAATTCTGGAAGCTTTACCTTAATCCCTCCTTAAATTCATTATTCGATGACAACAGGAAATGAAATAGATCATTTGGCTGTATTAGAGCAGCTCAACATTCACGGCTCTTTCCCAATCCCGCCAAATACATATCCTTGCCTTGCGTACTTTCACTCCGAGCAGCTTGTCACATACTATTTTCCGCTTTTCATCGCTCGTAATCAATCCTTTACAAAATTTTCCTATTTTGTTGTATTTTTGATCATTAAACTTTTCACTGTTAACTCATGTGATTATGAATCGGCTTTCATTGCCCGTAACCAATATCTCATGTCGTTGTTTAACTACCCTTGCATTATCACCTTGCAAACGCACCACTGTGCGACTTAATAGGTTTTGATATTTTTTAGACTATACCATAATTATAAATGTAGATTTGCATTAAAAAATTTAGTAATCGCAGGAAACACAATAATTACTAAAAGTTGCATTGAAAATAATGGCAAACGTTATTTACATACCGTTTTTATTTTTTAAGAAACTTATGAAACTCCTTCTTCATTTTTTATGAGAGAGCCCAATCTTTTTGTCCAATTTTCGAGAAAGCATTCCATGATCAGTTGCTAAAAGTATCAGGCGTGTAAAATGCTTATTCTTTTGCACAAAGTTTTTACTCAGCAACTTGAAAATATTCAAAGAGCTAATTTTATGGTAATATTAAGTGCATTCGCTGCACCACTTCTTCTTCAAAGTAAATTAATTTTGAGTAGATGTGTGTAACACTCAAAAAGACTTAACCATCTTTTATCACGCAGATCTATTTCGAATTATTTTCTGAAGTGATCTAAGCCTATCTTATTCGTCTGTCAATCCACCTGGTGCGTGTCTTGTGTTCAACCTCCAGGTCATAAATTTTGAGATATTTTGACGAAATTTGATAAACTGACTTGATTTGGTCCAGGTAGAAATGGATTGCATCGGATTAGTTCTTCGACCTAGCCCCATATCATGCCCAATCTCGAAAAAGTCATTATATGAAAAAAAATGTAATTTTTAAAATTTCTGAGCTAAAACCGTTTAGAGACAGCATTTCGGCACAAAGAAATTTTTTAAATCTCCTCCCATATGACCATTCCTAAGAAAGAGAGAGACTTCATGTACTAAAAAGACCAGCATCTTAATATTTCATGGTCAACGTAATTTGCAAACAAATTAGTCTTACGGAATTTGGGTTACTTTCGACGTCATACAAGTCTTCCCGTGGAAAATAAACTCTTTTATGACAAAAAGTTCCAAGAAAGCTAAGTATTGAGAAAGTTGATTCATGATATCGCAGGACTACAAAAGCAACGTATACATTTAAAATGGATAAAACTCGGTTATCTCATGAGATCGATATCGATAGTCTCCTATGAGCTGAATGCAATTTTTTTGTTTTGGCATATTTTTTATGTTCTATACGTCCACGTTATAGTAAGATTACTACATTCCGATTTACGCAATTTATCTTACAAAGCGGCACGTCTCTACTTGGCATAATGCTTTCAAGAACCGGTTTTTCATAAACTCATAAACCTCAGTTTCATTAGTATTCTTGGCTGTTAAACAGTGCCAACTGATCATTAGCAACTACCGCCTTAAAGCTTATTACACAACACAAGTTCGAAGCTTCTGTTTTTCTTTGCAGGCCTACAACTTGCGTTCACTTCATTCGTGCCAGATGTTAAGGGATTCATCTGTTTTTTTCTAAATGCTTCATTTTTTAAAAATAACAAAGACTTTTCTCTTTAGACATTGCGCTGTGTATTCATTCGATTTCATTATATTCAATGACGGTGCTCTAATTAACCAACATCGAAATAATTCTGATTTAATTTAATATATATATATGCCTATGTGTGGTGTATGTATCGCTGTACGTATATATGTTTGCACATATATATGTATTTATATTCGCGATATTGAGCACTGCAAGTCCTTTTTAGAACATTCTCTCTCACTCTCTACAATTAAGCGATATAAAATTTTTTGTTCTCTCTTCTTTAAATGCATGCAAATTTTAATAACATGCGAGAAAAACACTTTTCTTGTAAAAAGAACGAATTACTTTCAATATTATTACGATAATTACCTTTCTCTTTGTACATGCCACGTAAAATTTAATAATATGCAATTACAAGTTGTTTATTTCTTTATTAAAATAAAGAGAGGTATTAGGTAATAAAGAAAACACACATAAAGTCTAGCATTAGTTCCAAAAGTCAAGATAAATGGAATGCATGCAAGAAATGTATGCATTTTAACCTGATTAGATTTTATTAGTTTTTAAAATTATTTAGTGTAACGGCGCTTCAAATCAAAATCAAAAAAGTCAAACGCACGCTTACTACATACACTAATGGGCATATCGATATTGTAGAATTGTGTAAAAAAAAAAAAAAAAAAAAAAAAAA